TCTTGCTTTTTTACACATACTTTCTCCAGTAAAAGAAAATGTTTTAATGTCGATTAATCGCATGATGTCCATATTTAATCGGATTAATCGCAAATTAATCGCACATTTTGTATCTGTTCTAAATGTACCTTAGAGGAATATTTTTCAAGTTTGTAATACTCTTATCATGAGTGGACAAATATGCTTTATGCAAATGTTTGTTTATTATCATTGGAACAATGGCAAATATTCTCCTAAATATTTTCAATACAACAGCCTGGAACCTCTCTCTCTCTTTACACTCTCTCCCAACCCTGTCTACTTCTTTTCACTGAGCCAGTTGCTCAAACAGACAAGCCTGTTTACAGTTGTCGGCGAAATGCAGCTCCTCTGTCTTCATCTTCAGTCAAAGCATGAGACTGAAGTTCCCACTGTGGGTCAAAATAATGCGCTGTGATGTGCAGTCGACACGTTGGATGCGATCCGAATTATCTAACGCAGCCCCTCGTCCTCCACAATGTTAAGCTGTAGCCACCCATGTAGCTATCGCTGTTGTTGTCCAGGCGTCTCCCCGGCAAACTTTCAAGCGTGGTCTGCCGCAAGCGAGCGGCAGGAGCGCGGCTGTCAGCATCAGCTGTGTTTATCAGCTGTGGCTTGTTGTTTAAAACACCTTTTTTCTCTCGCTAGAATCTCCCACCATCCAAATAACAACAACAACAATGTCAAGCCTTTTGATCTCATTTTCATGAAACTACGGGGCGGGCTGAGGACAAATACACATGCGTTAATCGCACGTTAAAATAATTAGTGGCGTTAAAAAAATGTGTCTGTCAACTTGACAGCCCTAGATATTACGTCATATCGGACGCACATCTGGATCAACTCTGTTGTTCCCCCGTTTTTAGAGATTTGGGTATGGAGGAAAAGAGAGAGTGTTTTATTTTCTGACACTTTGTGAGTTCCCCGGCACACCGGGGACACATATTTATGTATAATGTATTATAATGTATAATGTATTTATGTATTGGGCCGGTTTTGGCGCAGTGGGTTAGAATGAACATCAGTTCGACACCCGCCTCGGCCGCCACCGCGTCAGGCCGTTGTGTCCTTGGGCAAGACACTTCACCCTAATTTGCTCCTGTGGGTATTGTCCACAGTAATAACTGTTACATGTCTAATATGTGTGATATGTCATGTAAAGCGCTTTGAGCACCTGGAAAAGCGCTCTAATGAAAATGTAATGAATTATTATTATTATTATAAAAGACATCAAAAGGTGCATTTTGCATGATAGGACACCTTTAATCCCTACTATAGTTGCCACTGTCTACTGTACACCTAAGCCAAATAATGATTTCATAAATGCATTTGCTGCTTTCCTCACGCATCTCTGCTCACTCTCCCCTAACATAATATTGCTGGGAGATTTTTATGAAATGTGGATATTATGAACAATGCAAAAAAAAAAACGCAAGACAAAAAGCATTTGAGCTCCATACTTTTTCAGATATAATCCTTGATGTGGTTTGGAACATGATATGGCATTTATTCACAGCATTTAGCTGTATCTGCCAGAGCTCAAAGAGTGTGTCTGCGTGCTCCAAAGGGGGCGAGGCCAGCAGCTACTGACCCAGAATCACTTCTCTAACGGCCCCTACACACGGCGGCGTGCGTTGAAGCTTCAACGCTTCTGCCCATTCATTTGAATGGGGTGACGTCACGCTTCGCCGAACTGCATTGTGGGAGCAAAGTGTAGCAATGTTCTACTTTTGAAGCTTCGACGGAAGCGTCAGCCAATCGAATCATATGCCAGTACAAGCTCTAGCCAATCAAACCGTGTGCTTGTGTGTCCGGGGAGGGAGATTCATGTGATTGGTTTGTGAGTCGAGTGTCAGACACGCCCGCCGGCAAGCTTCAACGCATGCCGCCGTGTGTAAGCTTCGTAAGAGGGCTGAAATAGAGGGATATGAGGGATGTCTAAAATGCATGATCTGTTTGGTATTTTGAGGAAAACTGATCATAGACATTTTTTTATATATTTTTATACAGTATATCTGAGACCCATAATATATGCCTGAAAATAGCATGGTAGGAGATCTTTAAGTTGTAAGGCAAGTGATTCAAATGAGCGGTGTACAGAAACAGACAAGACTTCAGATTCTCGCGGTAAATCTGCAAGAGACCTCCCCTCTCCCGGTGGAAAGTGGTTGACAGACAAACCCAGGAGGAGTAGATTCATTCAACTGTGAAAAGTCATTAGGTTTTTGCCACGTTTCAGCCAAACAGAGAAAGTCAGACTTACATCAGGAGAGCTTGGAGAAGAGGACCCTTGCTCGTAAGAGAACGAATGTGGAATAATCCAAAGTTGACATCAGTGTGGTCGTGTCGTTGTTTAGTTCTAACGTTAGCAGACCTGGCCTAAAAAACATTAACATATTTTAGACCACTTAAAGGTCCCATAACATTGCCATTTCTAGTGGTCATAATTCCATTTTTGAGGTCTACTAGATTTACATCGTTCAATGTTCCAAAATCACATTGGTTTCTCATCTCTGTATAGTATGTGTATTCACTCTCTGTCCTAAACGGCTTGTGTGAGCTGGATTACTGGTGTCATTTCCTGGTTGCTACGTGGGGTCTGCGAGACAGCGAGACACCTCGTTACAGGGTGTACTTTTTGAGGGTTTGTAACTTTGCAGACTGTTTACACGCATAAAAAGCTACATAACACACAAGGGGATGGTTAATAACCAGAAAAGCATGTCATGTGACCTTTAAATACACACAACCAGGAATCTTATGTGCGGTTATCCAGATGTTTGACGCGTCATTCATTTAGATGACTCATTTATCCATATGCAAATAGGAAAAGAAATGAGCAACTTGACTTCTGTTTACTACATAGTGATATAAAAACAACCATCCCACTGTAAACACTGCCCTTAGAGTAAATACTGTGCATTAAAAAATGCTTTGTATGTCCTTATAGCTGCATACAGTCACAATATATTATGTAATAATATATCATTTATAAAGTGTTTGTATGCCACATATATTCTGATATATAGAAAATGGTAAATTGGTATTTTTGATGGAGTGTTTACACATACAAGGCAAAGCACAACAATTGAATTGGGTTAAATTGTGAGCTTTTTGGGTATTCAGGATATTTATCAGTAATAACAATCTCTTTTGCTCTGCTATTTTGCTCAGATGATCCTGACTCCACCAGCCTGAGAGCAAGAAACCTTAAAATGGGTTTCTACAATTTCACAATGAGGGCACAGACGTCAGTTGGAGAATGTGGCGCTGCATTCATTACTGCCACCTTGAACTCACCGAGTATGTCTTTCTCCCTTTCAGCCTACAATTTTTCTTTGTAAAAAAATCCATATTCTTGACTAAAACTATGGAAACACTACACAGTCATGTATTTGTTTCTTACATTTGAATGACCTGTTCCTTATCAGTGCTGTTTGTTTGAACTCACCAGCTGAAAACTTAATAGGCGCAGTCCTTATTCTCCTGGTCACTGTTTTTGGTCTCCTTTCCCTCACAACTATGCTTTGCTTCAGACACTGGACATGGTAAGTCAAAATATCAATTCTTGTTCTCTTCTCTCAATTGTTGCTTCTTTTGCTTACATAAAAAAAAATGTGTGACTTATTGCCATGCATTCTTACAATCCACAGTATCAAACAGAAGGTCTATCCTCCAATCCCAAAGCCGGTGTTGACATCAGCGGTAGGTCCTTACAACCATGTCTTAAAGGGGCACTTCAATAGTTATGCATAGTTTATTCGCCCTGAAGTGTATTACTCAAACCGAGAACACTGTTATTTCATGTATATAATATAGTGGCTCGGCAAGGAGGTTACTAAAGTCTAATTGAGCTTGAGACATTACTGACCAAACTCCTGTGTAAGAACACATTGGTTAAAAGGGTGAAAATTGTGATCATTTAAAAAAAGGCAAGAATGCTTCAATAACAGATGACATGAATGGAATGGGATTTAGTGTTTTTGGATCTTGGCTTGTGCTAGGAGGACCCTTGTCAAGAATATATGCATTGATTTTTATAAATATGATCGATTTAACCACTTCAGCCCAAGACTGAAATGTTGGCTCGAATGCCTTGCTACTTTTGTGATTTCTTAACTTTTGCATTATCATTAATAACATGTTCCACTTTTCAAATACTTTGGTTCATGCAGATCAGATACCTGCAAAACTATAAAAGTAAGATCACAAAGCTAGCAAATGTCAGCATGGCTTTCACATAAGATGAAAACATGTTAGCATTATTAATTGTTAGCATTTTGAAAAGATGTGCAGTTCACCTAAAGCTGTGCATTGCCTGAAAGTGCACAGCTTTGCAGATTTTCTAGCATGGCTGTACACTCTTAATCTTAGTGGGTCTCTTCTGAGTCCCCTTTATGGAAGTGCAACACTAAATTGGGGGCATACACCTTTTAGATTTGGTTAAAAAAAGAAAAAGTTTAGTCTCCCTACTTCGCTTCATCATTGTTTCAGAGGTTATCCACCTTTTTGCACTCCAAGCTACCACCCACTTTTAAATTAATGCAAGTTTTTCTCCCCAAGGGTGAACATGGATGTCATCTCCTTTACATGGATCAGTGTCACCACAGTGACGTAGATATTGTGGATGTTCTGGAGCTAGTGTGTAGTGAAGACACACCAATTAACGGTTCTGTTCGCCAAGAGAACATATTATTTGTTGTTTTCCAAACTCCAAAGGGTTACTACAACCAGCCGCAGAAAAAGTGCCCCCCAGATCCCCTGACCGCAACAACTACAGAACTCCCATCTTTGAAAGGATTACCATCTTCTCCATTTGGAAGTGTATTTTCTAACCCATCCTACAACCTGATAATGAAGCCTGGTGATCAGCAGTCCAGGTCATTTCCTGAGCTTCAGGAAGGAAACAGTTTTGAGAGAAGCATCGATGGATACCAGCCTCAGGGTCTCACAGAAACCTTCCATATAAACCCGACAGAAGAGGATCCGGGGAGTCCTATGTCCTGTGTCTTTACTTATGTTTTGTTACCACAGTCACTTTCAAAATAGCTGGTTCATGCGCAGCCTTTATAAGTTACAAAACAGAAAAACATATATATAGTGAAACACTTTGTGATAGAGACATCGTCACTATTTGCGTATGACACATGGTAAAACACATTCAAACACAGTCATTGTGGCGAGTGCATGCACTACAATTACTTGACAGTAAAATTCTTACCAGACATTTTTAAAGTAATCACTAAACAATATTTTGTTAAAGACAGTTTTTTTTTTTTTTATCATACTTAACATAACAATGCTTTCCAATATGCCAAAGTAACCTGCTGTTCTTAGTTCCTGAGTTCGAAACAGCACAACAGAATAGTGTGGCTTTAAATAGAAGCTCAATCAGTCGAAACAGCTGCGCTCAATTGGACTGTACCATCTACTGCATGGGCATGGGTGACAATATTTCTTAGAATTAAATATGTAATTGTTTAGGGCTTTAATGGTCAAAAGTAGTAGCATATGATGACTTCTTCGATTTATTGTGCTTCATAAATGTGTAATTATTTAGATTCATTCATTTCATTGAATAGTTGTTTGGCCTATCTAAGTCTAATAGTGGCTAACAGTAGCTGTAGAGCAGAGAGGTATCTGTGACATATGTTCTGCAAGCCATATACAGTGGGGCAAAAAAGTATTTAGTCAGCCACCAATTGTGCAAGTTCTCACACTTAAAAAGATGAGAGAGGCCTGTAATTTTCATCCTAGGTATACCTCAACTATGAGAGACAAAATGAGAAAAAAAATCCAGAAAATTACATTGTCTGATTTTTAAAGAATTTATTTGCAAATTATGGTGGAAAATAAGTATTTGGTCACCTACAAACAAACAAGATTTCTGGCTCTCAACGACCTGTAACTTCTTCTTTAAGAGCCTCCTCTGTCCTCCACTTGTTAACTGTATTAATGGCACCTGTTTGAACTCGTTATCAGTATAAAAGACACCTCAAACCTCAAACAGTCACACTCCAAACTCCACTATGGCCAAGACCAAAGAGCTGTCAAAGGACACCAGAAACTAAATTGTAGACCTGCACCAGGCTGGGAAGACTGAATCTGCAATAGGTAAGCAGCTTGGTGTGAAGACGTGTTTGGAGGAGAAAGAATGCTGAGTTGCATCCAAAGAACACCATACCTACTGTGAAACATGGGGGTGGAAACATCATGCTTTGGGGCTGTTTTTCTGCAAAGGGACCAGGACGACTGATCCGTGTAAAGGAAAGAATGAATGGGGCCATGTATCGTGAGATTTTGAGTGACAACCTCCTTCCATGAGCATGGGCATTGAAGATGAAATGTGGCTGGGTCTTTCAGCATGACAATGATCCCAAACACACCACCCGGGCAACGAAGGAGTGGCTTCGTAAGAAGCATTTCAAGGTCCTGGAGTGGCCTAGCCAGTCTCCAGATGCTGCCTGCACTGAGTGTGTGTGTGGATTGGTCAATTTGGACCAATCAGCGGGGGCTTAACGTAACGGCTCCACGGATTGGCCCATTTGCGGCCAATCCGGCTACTGGCCATTCCTACGACACAGCACCCAGGAATTAAACAATGGA